TAATAATAAGATATGCCACAAAACAAGTCTAACTAAAGAAAAATCTCAGATGAGCTAACGGTCATGGCTAAATTAACTAAATTAAATAAATTAACAAACTTAATTAACTAATCAGCTCGTCAGCTCTGATAAAGAATACTTATAGTTTAAAAAGTGTGCCACGCCTCCTTCAACCTGTTAATAATAAATTCGCATAATCAACAACATTTTTTAAAAATATTCTTAGTTAATTTTTTACTCCTTTAAGAAATTGAAACAAGTATATTAGTATCGTTCAATATATTAATATCGATTCGCTCGTCTATAATCAGCATTAGCTCGCTATATGGCTAAAGCTTCATTATATTGCCAACTAAATGAAAATGTCAAGCTACCCACAATGAGAGTATGGGTAAACAGAGGCTGTCAAACAGTTGAAGCAAAAGTATTAAATGCAAAAATCTTTTGTCCTTCTGTGTTGACAATATGTAGTTGTCTATTCGAGTTGAAATGCCTATGGCCAAATACTTTGGCCAGCAAAATGTAGATAAAGTTTTCAAAACAATTCAACCGATCCAGAGAGATGTGAGTGAGAGCAACAAAAATATTAAAAGTTGGCAAACTGTTGAGCAACATGACCAAATGGAGGCGTGGCAGTTGCATATTTATTACAGTTAACACAAGAATTATGAAAGTCGCTTTGTCAGCATTACAAAAGGAAATTCTATGTGCGTGCGTGTGTGTGTGTGTGTGTGTGTGTGATAGAGCAACATAAGCAAAAAGGAGTCGCATATATAGAGAAAAACATTTCACTTACCGTGCCGAGCACCTGTAGAACTTCTGAATGGCATAGTAGGCCCCACAAATGGGCAGAGTGAGGGCCAGAAACCAGGGCGTAATGCTCACATTTATGAGTATCGCACAGAGGCAGAGCAGGCTGAACTGCAGCAGGCGTTGACAGGTTGCAGCGATTTTCTGTAAATGAAAAAATATACGTTCCTATGTATAGTAGCATATGTGTACAGACATGGACAAGATAATAGGTAGACTTATTAAATTAAATTAAATTAAATTATTGCTTGATTTCCTTTAAGCGAATTGAAGAATTTTTTTTTTTTTTTTTTCAGAATAGATTTTCAACAATATTATTTTCTTATGAACAGGTGCTACTTAAACTGTTGGAGAGGCTACAACTCAAATAGAATAGAATAAAAAATAACATGAAACAACATTTAATGAATAGCAGTTTATCATTTTGATGTAGTGCTCTCTCTCTCTCTCTCTCTCTCTCTCTCTCTCTCTCTCTCTCTCTTACTGCTTTATATCATTTCCTGCGTTAGGAGAACTAGTAATAGTAGTTGACTGAGTAATTAACAGTAATATGTTAAAGTCATTTAACAGTGGTATTGGTCAATCGTGATTTGCTTTCCTGCTCTCTTGCTGAGGTCGAGCGAATTTTAACAGTGCATGTTGAGTTCTTCTGAAACAAAAAATCTGAGTGATTTTCAATTTAAGCGGCTTCTAATTGCTTGCGTGTATTCTGCGACAGAGAAAGAGACAAACATATCTGTTGCTGACCGCAGTATATGTGCTAAGTAAGAGCGAGATAGCTACATTGGCACTTCGTGCAGGGTCGTTCTTATTTTATGTGAACGAAGAGACACTATCACTCAATCGTGAGACAATTCGACTGGAAATGGACAATCTCATGATGCAGTAATCGAGTCTTTTAACAGTTGGGCAGTCTGACAAGTAATAGGCGACAAATTGTACGATCGAAAACGATCTAATTGGCACAAGTCTAAAATATAAAATATAAATAAATATATAAATAGCCACATCAATGCTTTTTTTTATGTACTGCATAGAAGTAAATAATATGGAATTAAAATAAATATAACAATATGTTAAATCACATAAAATTTTTTTTTTCAAATTTTCACTATTGCAAAATTATTTTATTACATACGGCCTGTACATATTTTGCTGACCTCATCTGTTTGTATGGCACCGCAGCTGGGTGAACGGCTCCGTGTGGCATGCAACATGGCAGCAGTGGGAGCAGCAACAGACGAACAGACGGCCAGACAGAGGCACATATTGGGCTGCCGCCAGGTAGCTGCTGCGGCTTTTCGGGCAACGATTTTAAATGACTTTTGCTCGTTTGCAGCACACGAATTGACAAATGACTAAATTTGTGTATGCCACATGCCGCACTCATGGCGCACCGCTGCCACCGACCCCGGTTCTTGCCCGACCTGCTGCCTCCAAAGCTTGCCGTTTGTCCTAAAATTAACGAGAACGACTACAATTTGCAAGCTCCATGACCAGCCAATGAATTGTGTATCCTGGCTCACGTTTTGACAAATGTGAGCCACAGAACCCGACTCCGGCCCCCAGGCAGAGCCACTGCCACTGCCATAGTCCCAGCCCAAGCTTCAGCCCCTGCCACGCCCCGACAATGTTTCATAATCAAATTTTGTTTGCCAGCCGCTGTGATTGCACAAAGTGACCCAGCCCACTTGTAAAGTGCACGATAATTGAAGATTTATTTGGCAAACGCATGCAGATTGAGGTCGACACAGACAGAAAAAAAAAAAACAAAGAGACAGACAGAGACAAAATGACATTATAACTGTTAAAAGCCAAATGTTGGATTAAATTAGTTACATGAATAAAATTGAATAATAATTATTTACCCAGTCAACGCTCGTGGCTGGAATTTTTACAGTAATTATCAAAGCCGTTTATTATATTTATGTAAATCTGCTGAGGAATTTTATAATCTAATATGATTGTTAATAATATAAAAAAAAAAATTATTAACAAATCAATACAAAATGTTTCAAGACTCGCTGCTCATCTAACGCAATTATTTCATATCGTCAATCTACTACGTATTTTATTCATGATTGTGTCTATGATAGAGAACTACTTATATATATTAGTAATCCTTCGAAAGATTTATAAATGACTCAGTTAAGACTGTAATTGCAATGAGAATAGCAGACCGTCTTAACCTCTTACGTATGCTAGCTTAAGGCATTAGAGGATTACACGAGGAGTAATCCATTGCATAGCTGCATTTTGAACTGCGCATATCATGTGATAAGCCAATTCATAATTTGTTATARGCCAAACWAGGTCTGTGCACGGCGCATTTCCTCAGCCGAACGCTAATTCATTCCGCACGTTGCCCTCTTCCGGTGCCAAATAAACATGTTTCTATAGCTTATAGTCTAAGCGGCTGCTAATTGACAGTGACAGACGGCCACACCTCCCAGTCAGACAGCATGACGAATGCCCAAATACACGTACACCTATATAGCTATATAGGCTCATTAAGGCATTCAGCTATGTTACATCAGTGTCTCGA